GAGTTATGTGACACTTCTGACAGATATTACTTTTGGGTTGGTGCTGATCCCCCCAACCATGTGGACAGATATCCAGCCACGCCCGATGGTTCATCCCAGGCAGTTCCTGCCATCTCAGCTGGCGGCAGAGAGATCGCAGTGCCAAGTAGTGACTGTGCTTTATTACTCACAGGAGACACATTAAATATGTCTGAACTCCTCTCACAAGTGGGTTGGCAGAGTTTTCCAAAGGAATTCCACTCCCATTTTTTGAATGAATTTTATTACCCTGTGGGAGGGTTAGCAGGTCAGATATTTTCTGAAAAACTGGCAAATAGTTGTGGATATCAGATGGGCTATCTCTGGACTAATACTGTCATAAAAGATGCTGTCGAAGATGAGCAAATCTTTAATGAGGATCTGCATAGTAAGCCTTGGGACTTAGAAATTGCTTCATTGTTGCTGGAAAAGACCCCTTATCAGCTGCCAGTGTCAGAGGATGCTGCTATTTGGCTGTGGCAAAGTAGAGGGGGACAGTTAGTAAGTATGTTTTATCAGTGTTTGTTATTGTGCTCTGATGTGCTAGTCTGCACATTTTGATTCCTTTTAACTTAAAATTAATGAGGATTTTTTCTAAGGCCATGAATTACTATAACATCGATTTAACCATTTCTGATTTGGAGAATACAAATTCCCTTTTTGGTGTATTTAAGGCAAAGAGGAAGAGTAGATCCTTGTTAACTCTAGAGCATGCCCTGTGGACCATGCCATGAGCTGTGTTCAGCCGCTGTCTGTTTGCAGGTGTTGCCGGCCACACTATCTCCTTGCGGCAGTGCAGTTAGAGCCCTTGGAGGGGATCCTGTCATATGGGCAGTGTAGCTTGTGCCCATTGAATGTGAAGGCCACACTTAATAGGATACAGACGTTTAAATCTGTGCTTTCTGCTACTTTTGTATTGCATGTGTCTAAGGCAGGTAAAATTTGCTGCTTTTAACTGGCTCTGAAATCTTGATTCTGTCTTCTTTCAGTCGGAGTGACCATGGAGCTCTTTCTCAGATTCCTGGGAGAGGCTGATCCCTCTGGTGTGGAAGAAGCTTCATAGTTGATTCTGTGGGCAAATGCTTTCAGCATCTTTCTAGAAATTCTGTAATATATGCAAATATTCATCAGGAATTTGTTCACGCTCATAAGACAGACATGGATGGAAGCAGTGAGACTGAAGGACATGCCTGGAATAGCAGAATCTCATTCGTTCGACCAGTAGTTCATTATTGCTGATTTTTGTGTCATTAAGCAAGAACTCCCGATAGTATTAAGGAGGCTCAAGGTTAATACCTATTATATAGGATTAAACGAGTAGAAATCCCATTCTATATTTTAAGAAATTATCCATTAATTTCCTCTCTTTTTTTTTCATGCCCCCTGTTGGAAAATTTTACCAGTTACCTTCAAATTTATCAGTTTTGTCCTTAAATTGTTGTAGGCAAAATTCTGTAACATTAGGCCTTTAAAATAATATTCATATGATCTTTTGCATAGGTGGGTATAATTAGCAGTTGGCTTCTAATGTCATTGTTTGATACATCCATACAGAGTGCAAACAATCTCTGTTGCTGTCTTTATCCACATGACTTTAAGTGAGATACATGCTTACTGTTTTAGGTTAGCTTTTCAATTATTGGATGTGCCCAAACAATATTCTAATTTGAGGCATTGCCACATTTAATGATGGCCTGTTCAAAACTCTAGTACTGTTACAGACATCTTTTTTGTTGCTTTGTGTTGCTTCGCCCCCCACAGATTTGTCACCCCACTTCCCTTGGGTGACAGAGATGCAAAGGATTACTCAAAGCCCCTCTCTACTGAGCAGTGAGAAGCCCCGAAGTGGTTAACGTTCCTGGGACCCTCCAGCAAGAGGGATCCCTTCCTTGGGAAAATTAACCCTGAATTGGGGTCCTCTTCCTGCATTTATTTTCCAGACCAGGAAGTTACAGGAAGAAAACAAAGGTGGGGTTATAGTTTAACAATATAGGCTGGTAACTTTCAGTGAAACAAGCCAGATGACATTCCAGTAAGGCAATTAACAAAAGCTCAATCCTAGCAAACATTCCTTCTTACAGCAGTCTCTCAGTATCTTTACATAACAATCAGTAACTAGTCTGTCTTTGAGCCAGCAACTCTGCTGTGCCACAATTCTTATCTTGCAACAGAGACTAACTAGCCTGGGGAAAATTTCCTGTCCTTGCAAGGTCAATATTTGAAACAGCAAGGCTTTGGAAAATCAGGCCCTGTGAAGTACATATGCTTTATAGTATATTCTACACAGTTCTCCCCACTGTTTTTGGCACAAAGAAGAAAGTACCAACTAGATTTAAATCAGAGAAACAAAGCATAACCAGGAGCCCTCCAGTGTGCTCCTATATGGAACAGCAGGAGAGGGTTCAGAAAATCAGAGAAAGGTAAAGAGAATTTTAGTGGCTTCCAGACTTCCAGTCACTGCATAGTGTGAGAATGAATCCCCACCAATCTCATGAATCCCCTGTTAGGTGGAACCTGCTCTCAAGCAAGGTCTTCACAGTGTAGGACTGGCCTTCTCACCTCTACTAGTTACACGTCATGGCAAGCCGTTGCTGGCCAGAGAGAGCATGCTTCTCACAGACTGAGAGGAATTTTAGCTGTAGTTGACCGGTAGCCACTTTAAAGAGGAAGAAAAGGGAAAGAAAAAGGGAGAGTAAAAGAGAGTAAAGCATTGTCTTATCAGAATTTGGGCTGGGGACTCCAGGAGAGACTTACCAGCAGCAGAGACATGGGACCAAAATAGTCCCAGTGGCCACTTTATCCTCTTGCAGCTAGGGTCTTCACTGGTGTCTGAGGTTTGCCAGTTTTTGCTGGTGCAAATATTAGAGCAGCATGTGTGCTGCATGGGAAAAATCCTAGGGCCATTTCTGGCACCCAGAGTCCCCTTACCTCCTGGTTTGTACCGAATTTAGGCTTTTGGGTCATAGAAATTAACAGTGCACCGAGCAGTAAAGCAAGCAACACTTTATTAAAAGAGGAGATAGAGGGCCGGCCCGGTGGCACACTCGGTAGAGTGCGGCGCTTGGGAGTGCGGCGGCGCTCCCGCTGAGGGTTCGGATCCCATATAGAGACCGGTCCGCTCACTGGTTGAGCGCAGTGCAGGCGCGACACCGAGGGTTGCGATCCCGTTGCCGGTCGCGGTGCGGGGGTGACACTGAGGGTTGCAATCCCGTTACTGGTCACGAAAAAAGACAAAAAGGAAAAAAAAAAAAGAGGAGATAGACTTATGCATAAGGGGGGTAGCTACAGGAAAGTTAGCACCCTGAGGAGAGCTGTTCAGGGTCTTATTATAGGAAAAGGAGTAAAGGGGTGCAGGCCAGCATCACTGGAGGTGGTGCATTTCATTCTTATTGTTTGCGTCATGGGTGCGTACTCAGTTAAGTCTTTGGCCCTTGAGCCTGCTCAGTAGGTCCAGGATGGTGGTGTTTGTTATTGTCACCCCAGGATGGTCATTGTAGCAGTCGCCTTCAAGCTTTGTGCACATGTGGAAATTCCTAAAGGGGTCTTAAGGTTAATCTGTAACTTAATTTTTACAATTACAGTAAACAAGCCTTGGGGAGGAGTTTAACTCAGTGAATATCTGTTCCCCTCTTATCTCAGTTTATTTTATCAGGGTGGGCATGGGGTAATCATGTGCCCTGAGGGTCTGACTGAGGAGTGGAGAAGTAACAACCTGTCCACTGCAGGGAAAAGAGTCAGTTTTGTTCATAGGCCTAGCCTTACTCTGTTTCAGAGGTGGGCAAGGCCAGAGCAGTGGGGTGTTCTGGCCTTGGGAAGAACCACACAAGGGTGTTCTGGCATTGCGAAGAACCTCATCTGTTGTTCTGAAGGAGCCAGGTGGCCACTGGAGGGTTCTGAGTAGAGAACTGTTGTGGTCTGATTTACCGAGCACCCTTATCGCATTAGTCACTGATGAGCTAATGATTCAATGAGCATGTAATACAGCATGTGCCAGGCACCATGCTAGTGCTTGAGGCATGCTGTGTCAACAGCCCTATGAGATGGGAACTACGAAGCTCGTTTTCCAGGTCAGGCGTTCATAGGTTAAGTACTAGCTCCACATTACACAGCTGTCCAAGGCAGAGTTGGACTCAGGCTCAAGCGATTTGAGAGCCCATGTCCACAACACTGAACTAGCAGAATCAGGAAGACCTACAAATTGTACTTCAGTAGAACTGGGAATTTGTGTTTTGAAAAACTCCAAAGGTGACACTGAAGCTCTTTCAGGAATGGGAACAACTAGTTCTGTTGAACTTACTTAGAGGATGCTTTAGCTTTCTCTGGTTCTACGGTAGCTCTGACAGGCCTATTAACCTTTTTTCTTAGGAGCTTTTTCCTGTACTTATTTTGCTTATGTGAGTGTTTGAAGCTTTATAATTAAAATTTTATTTTTATTTATTTATTTATTTAAAAGATGACCGGTAAGGGGATCTTAACCCTTGACTTGGTGTTGTCAGCACTGTGCTGTCCCAAGTGAGAGCTAACCAGCCATCCCTATATAGGGATCTGAACCTGTGGCCTTGGTGTTATCAGCACCACACTCTCCCAAGTGAGCCACGGACTGGCCCCTAAAATTTTATTAATCTACATTGTATTCACATTTGTAAATCTGGGAACTGTGATTTGAATCAGTTACGTAGTCTAGGAAATCCCCAGTTCCTGATGAGTTGTGCAGTTTTTATAAGGCACTGAAATCTCGTGAAGGCAGGAGCAATGTCTGTGGTTTCGCAGCTTCTGAGCTGTGTGCTCAGGAGGAATGTAACCTGAGGGGGAACTGAATAGAGTTGTGACTGCATTTCTCCCCAAAGGTGTTGCGTACAAGTTGGACTCAGCCTTTTTAGCTCAAAATCTCTTAACAAAGGTGAATTTTAACTCTGCATTAGTAAGTAAAATGGATTTGATTGAAATTTGGATACAAATATATATGTTACAATTTTTCCTAGGTACCAACAACTAAGGTTTCAGCGCTAAATCCTAATGCAAAAGTATGGGGGACTCACATGTTACGTTTAGAAGCAAGTGATGCTGCTGATGGTGTGAGTGCCGCTTGGGAGGAGGCGCCCTGCCATGCTGCATCCTGTAGCCCGCAGGGTGAGTCGTGAGCCTGGCCTCGGTGAGGGACGGATCTGCTCCAAAGCCTTTGCCTGTGTTTCCGTGCTAATCTGTCTGTAAGAAGTCGCTGCCTCACATTTGTGTCCTAGTTAGTGAGGGTGCTTAAGAGCCTGGAGATGTTTCATGAGCCAGTTAAAGAATTCAAGGAACTGCAAATGTGAGCTTTATTTTGTTTTGCTTTAAGAGAAATTTATTCTTATAACCCTGCCTTTTGGGGTAAAATTCCTAACTATAGGATCAGATGCCAATGGAGATGGTGACAAAAGTCATGAAAATGCAGCATTACCAGATTTACAGGAGTCAGACCAGACAGACATGAACACTTTGGACCTGGATCCCTCGGAATACGAATCGCTGCCTGAAAATAGCGAAACGGGTAAGGCTATTTTATGGATTTGTTTTTATATACAGCATGAGCTTTTTTGTTCTTTTTTAATTTAGCTCATTAAATCTGTCCCTAGACAACATGCCTGTCGTTGCCTCCTTTTAATTGTACTTTTTTTCTTTTTTTCCTTTTTTCCTTTTTGTCTTTTTTTCGTGACCAGTAATGGGATCACAACCCTCAGTGTCGCGCCTGTACCGCGACCGGCAATGGGATCGCAACCCTCAGCGGGAGCGCTGCCGCACTCTACCGAGTGCGCCACCGGGCCAGCCCTTTTTAGTTGTACTTTAAACTTACTCTTATGTAGATGCAGAGATGAGAGGCCATGGTTGGGGAGGCATCGTGGTGAATGTAAGGCTGAGTAGCTCCTGAAAGACAACCACATTTAACTAGGAGCAGCAGAGGGTGGTTTGTAGGGCAAACATTAGTAGAAGTGCAGAGATGGAGTGTTACTATTGGAATTGCAAATAAGACAGTTTGAACAGAATGAGGGGTTGTGAACATCACATATTTGAGGTATTCCTAGCTGTTCTTCAAGTTTTATTTTCTGTAGTTTAGGGAGAATTAGGGCTGTATTCAGTACATTCTACAAGCAGAGCTGATTTGCTGGCTTCCGTTCCTCATTGACAAGTCATGTATGCTTCTGTAAAACCATCAAACAGTCAAGAAAACAAACGTGGCCATCTCCAGGAGCAGCTTCCTGTGACTTCTCCCTTCCCCAGGCAACCCCCATCTGTTTTCTGTCCGTGTAGATTAGTTTGCATTTTCTAGAATTACATATAAATGAAATTTGGTGGTGTGTGCTCTTTTGTGTGACTTTTTTTGCTTACTAATTTTGACATTATTTGTGTTGTAACATGCATTAATAGGTAGTTCCTTTTTGTTGCTGAGTAGTATTCCACGATATGGATATACCACAGTTTGTTTTTCCCACTTACCTGTTGGTGAATATTTGGATGTTTTCCAATTTTTGGCTTTACAAATAAAGCTACTTTGAACATTTGTAAGCAAGACTTTGTATGGATGTATGTTTTCATTTTCCTTGGTTAGATACTTTGGAATGGAGTAGATGGATCATCTGGTAAGCATATGTTTATCTTTTTAAGAAATGGTAAAGCTGTTTTCCAAAGTAATAATAACATTTTGTATTCCCACCAGCAGTTCCAGCTGCTCCACATCAGCACTTGCTATGGTCAGTCTTTTTAATTTTAGCCACTCTAAAAGGTAGATAGTTGAATCTTATTGTGGTTTTAATTTGTATTTCCCCCCTAACGACTAATGGTGGCAAGCATCTTTTTTTTTTAAGACTATTTCTTCAGAGCAGTTTTAGGTTCACAGCAAAATTGAACAGAAAGCATTCCCATACATCCCCCACCCATACCCTTCCCCAAAATCAATATCCCCCACCAAAGTAGTACATTAGTTAGAATTGATGCACCTACATTGGCATGTCATTATCACCGAAGTCCACAGTTTACATTAGAGTCCCTCTTGGTGCGGTGCTGGACATTCTGTGGGTTTGGACAGATGTATGATGACATGTATCCACCATTACAGTATCATACAGAATAGTTTCACTGCCTTAAAAATCTTCTGTGTTCTGCCTATTTGTTCCTCCCTCTCCACCAATCCGTGGCAACTACCGATCTTTTTACTATCTCCATAGTTTTGCCTTTTCCAGAATAAAATATAATTGGAACCATACAGTATGTAGCCTTTTCAAATGGGCTTCTTTCACTTAGCAATATGTGTTTAAGGTTCCTCCATGTTTTTCCATGGCTTGGTAGCTCATTTCTTTTTAGTGCTGAATCATATGCCATTGTCTGGATGTACCACAGTTTGTTTATCCATTCACCTGCAAGAGACTTGCTTTCAAGTTTTGGCAGTTCTGAATAAAGCTGTGATAAACATTTGTGTGCAGGTTTTTGTGTAGACGTAACATTTCTACTCCTTTGGGTAAATACCAAGGAGCACGATTGCTGGATTGTACAGTAGAAGTATGTTTGAAAGTTCTGTAAGAAACTGCCAAACTGTTTTCCAAAGTGTACCAGTTTTTGCCTACCATCTTTTGATGCTCTGTGAGGCACATACATGTTAGGGATTGTTATGCCATCTTGGGGAGTTGATTCCTTTATCATTATGCAGTGCTGCTCTAGTTTCCCTTGCTTTGAAGTCTGTGTCTGAAATAAATGTAGCTACTCCTGCTTTCTTTTGATTAGTGTTAGAATGGTGTATCTTTATCCATTTATTTTGTTCCCAGTCTTTTTTATGTTGGTAAACTACACGTTTTCATCTAAGAATGTTGTAAGTGTAGGTCTTACATTTAGATCTTTGATTCATTAGAGTTAATTTTTGTATATGGTATTTGGTAAGGGTCCAACTCTGTTCTTTGCATGTGGATATTCAGTTCTCCCAACACCTTTTGAAAACACTGTCCTTTCTTCATTGAGTGGTCTTGGTGCTCTTGGCAAAAAACATTTGGCTATATACATGAGGATTTGTATGTCTTGTCTCTATGCTTGTACCACACTATTTTTATTATTGTAGCTTTGTAGTAAGTTTTGAAATCAGGAAGTGTTCTTTTTCAAGATTGCCTTAGCTATTCAGGGTTTGTTGAGATTTCATACAAATTTTAGATGGGTTTTTCTATTTGTGCAAAAAATGTCATTGGGATTTTGACAGGGTTTGCATTGAATTTGTAGATTGCTTTGATTAGTATTGACATCTTAACAGTATTAAGCCTTCCAATCTGTGAACATGGGATGTTTTCTTTTATTTGTGTCATCTTTAATTTCTTTCAGTAATATTTTGTAGTTTTCATTGTACACCTACATTTAAGTCTTTCACCTCCTTGGGTAAGTTAATTCCTAAGTATTTTATTCTATTTGATCCATCCATTTGCTTTTAAACTACCCGTGTCTTTATGTTTAGAGTGGGCTTCTTGTAGACAATATATAGGTGAGTCTTGTTTTTTCATTCACTCTGACAATCTCTGTCTTTAATTGGTGTGTTTAGGCCTTTGACATTCAAAATGGTTATTGATATAATTGGATTAATATCTACTGTATTTATTAGTTTTCTATTTGTTGCCCTTGTTCTTTGTTTCTATTTTTGTCTTTCATAATTTTTCTGCCTTTTGCAGTTTTAATCAAGCATTTTATATGATTCTATTTTCTTTTCTTTCTTGGAATATCAGTTATATCAGCTATACTTTTTTTTTTTTTTTTTTTTTTTTTTTTTTTTTTTTTACTTTTTTTAGTGGTTGACCAAGAGTTTGCAATACACATTTACAGCTAACCCAAGTCTACTTTTAAAAAACACTATATCAATTCATGGATAGTGTGAGTACCTTACAATAACAAAATAATCCAAATTCCTTCATCCCATTCCTACTGTTATTGAAGTCATTCATTTTACTTATATATAAGTGTACAGATGCACAAAAGATATATTCATAATCAAATACTTGGCTGCTCTTATTTTGAATAAATTTATCTGTTAGGCCTATTAATAATAAGAAAAATGAACGTTTTTATTTTACCTTGACTTACTTTTTCTTTGCTCTTTTGCTCTTTATGCAGGACGAGTTTCTGACCTCTGTTATCTTCTTTCTCTGAAGAACTTCTTTAACATTTCTTACAAGGCAAGAGTACTGGCAGCAAATTTTCTCAATTTTTGTTTGTCTGGACAGTCATCATCTTCACTTTTTAAGGACAGATTCTCAGTAAAGAAATTCCAGGCTGGTGGGTTTTTCTCTCAGCACCCTGCACATTTCACGCCACCCTCTTCCTGCTTGCTTGGTTTGTGAGAAGTCAGATGTAATTCTTACTTTTGTTCCTCTATAGGTAAGGTATTTTTCCCTCTGGCTTCTGTTAGGATTTTTTCTTTATCTTTGATGTTCTATAGCTTTAAAATGATATGCCTCGGTGTAGGGGTTTTTTTGGCATTTATCCTCCTTGGTCTCTGAACTTGAATATGTGGTTGGTGTCTGACATTAATTTGGGGGAATTCTCAGTTTGTATTGTTTCACACATTTCTTATTTTCCTTTCTCTCTTTCTTCTCCTAGTGTTCTTGTGTGTATGTTAATACCTTTTGTCCTTGGATATTCTGTTCTTTTTTTCAGTCTTTGTTCTCTTTGCTTTTCAGTGCTGGAGGTTTCCACTGGTAAATTCTCAGGCTGAGATTCTGTCCTCAGCTGTGCCCCATCTACTAAAAAGCCTGTTAGAGGCATCCTTCATTTTTGCCACAGTAATTTCAGTCTCCAGCATTTCTTTTTGTTTTTTCCTTAGAATTTCCATCTCTCTGCTTACATTGTCTATCTGTTCTTACATGTTGTCTACTTTATCCATTAGAACACTTAGCGTATTAATCATAATCGTTTTAAATTCCCAATATGATAATTCGCACATCTCTGCCACGTCTGGTTCTGATGTTTGCTTTGTCTCTTAAAACTATGTTTTTGCCTTTTGGTATCCTTTCTGATTTTTTCTTGATAGCCAGATATGATGTGCTGGGTCAAACTGCTGTAAACAGGGCTTTGGTAAGATGGGGTGGTGTGAGGTGTGTGGGGAGGGGCAGCATCCTGTATTCCTGTGAACATCCCAAGTGGGACAGAGTTGCTAGAGCTGGCTGGAGCTGGGCATATTTCCTTTCCTGCAGGTGGGTTTGGCTCTGATAAAACCCCAGCAGGTTAGGCTCTGGTAAAATAGTTTCTCCTGAGAGCAGATCTTCTAAAGAAGAGAATGCTCTGGAATATTCTTAAGTGGTTCCTTTTTCCCTCCCCCTACCAAAAGCTCTAGGGGATTTTTCTCCAGTTTTCACTGAGAACCTGGTTGAACTCCTGGAAGTATAAAACTCATGAAAGTGTGGAACACCTGCCTCATGACTAGGTCCTCTTATAGTTTTTAACTCTCAGACTTCTTGTTCACCCTGGGCCTCCAGCAATTCATCAGTTACAGTTGTGATTCTCTACTCACCTGTATTTCCAACTTTG